TGACCTGGTCTTCGTTTCCGTGGTGATTAGGTATTATTATAATTAGAAGACATTACTTTTTCCATAACAAATAGGTCCCACATTTTGTTTAATTCTAATGCCACATCAGGGCCATGTCATCGTTACGTGGGACAAAGATCTAGTCAACACCGCCACGTCAGCGAAACCACTGTCTAAAACCGTCAAGGGAGTCAAACTGCATTGGTTTCAATAGTTCATGATCAAGATATTCGATAGTACTGTGGTTTAGGATACGAATCAGATTTGGCTAAAATGGACTTATTCCGGACAAAAAGGACCACGAAAAACTTGGCAGCCACGAAACTTGCCTAAGTTCTTTTTTTCTGGCCCTTCTTTTTTGGATTGAATAGATGCGGCGTGGCAATGACAGTGATCAGAAGCTATTAACCAGTAACCAGTAACCAGAGCGACCGGCCAACCTGTTCTAACCGAATATTTTTATTTTAACTTTATTTATTAAAGTACTTACAGAAAAAAAAAATTATTTGAAAATTTTATAGAACTTGTCGCCCATCACCCTCTAGGAAGGCGGGCGATTTTTCCGACGTGGCAAATGACCGTTGGCCCTCCCATAACAGCCTGTCACCGAGGGCACCAAATTTTTGCAGGTGGCCCCCTTGCCGCTTTCCCTGAGAACGATTTTTAGCTCAAGGGGGCCGCCTGTAAAAGACTGGGACGGACTGATATTTTTGCAAGCAACCCCCTTGCCGCTCTCTGAAAGGGCTATTTTCTACTGTACGGGAGGGGTGGCATTTTTACGGGAGGGGTGGCATTTCTGCAGTTAGCCCCTTGCTGCCCTCTGGGAGGACGATTTTCTACCGTGCGGGAGGCCCGCGCCTATCCCTCGCTCTGCCCAGCCAGGGCATAGCTCACTCTCTATTTGCTCCTTGGAGAACACGTAGAAAATCGTCCTACCAGAGGTCGATGGACAACTAATTTTGTATATTTTTCAACTAAAAAATTATTTTTAAAATATTTTATAATAAATAAAAATAAAAAAATGGTTCTAACACAACCGTGCAAGGGAACGGCCCAACAGGAGCTCAAAGCCTCAAACAGCCCTTCGTCAAGATTGCCCTAAAGGTGGGTTGCTATACAACAGAATCCTATTTAAACATGATGATAGCGATTAGGTATCAGGTTCTGATATTTGTAAGGTAACATATCCTGATACTGGTTCGATATCAGGTGATATCTATCACGTATAAGGTCCTATCGAGTATTCAGGTATCATGTTCTACTAGGTATCCAGTTAAATATCAGGACATGATACCTCAAATGTATCAGGACTTGATACCTAGTCGGTATTATCCTGTATGAATGAGATATCATCTTGTAGCATTCCCGATATTTATTTTTTCATTTTTCTATTTAATTCCGAATATTTGAAACCCACCAACTTAAAATTTGGACTGTTTGTCCTTTCTAGATACTTTTATCAATCGTGTAGCACCATAAGTATAAATACGTAACTTTCATTCATAATCAACCCTCACCGGTCCCAGTTATTCGAGAAGACAGGAAGTAATTTATTTGTGAGGGTCTTTCACCTAGTTCTGAAGTATCAAAGCAATAACTTTATATCAAAGTGGAAACGAGTAGGCTTAGGTCCTTTCTGTTTATTCACTAGATTTTTAAAATGAATTATTTACTTCACGCTTAAAAAAATACATTTCTCAAAAAAAAAAGTTGATCTATTGTACTCCAATCATCTTGGCACATAGATTAAGGATAAGTAATTATACTCATCATCTATTTAAACATGCTACTAGTTATTCCTCGTAAACAAGCGATTCATTAATATTTACATTTCTCGATGCCCATATAGCCAATCTTGTGTGGAAGAATTGAGAGTTATGCATTAAATCTAAGAAAGTCATTAAGATGATAGGTTGTTGGATTGAAATATGCCTATGAAAAAATAAATTTTTCAGATTTGGAAATATGACTATCAAACATAGATGGAGGCAGGGGCGGAGACAGGAGTAGGGCAGCTTGGGCTGCAGCCCTACTCCTGATCCTAAATATTCATTAAAATTTTATTTTAAAACTTCAAAAACTAGAAGATAAAGGCAAAGTTATATACATTTAACTAATTTAGCCCTAGGTTTGAGAAAATTCTAGCTCCGCCACTGGATGGAGGGAGTATTACTTAACAGTTAACACTAGCACAAGTGCACAACATACACACTATACAGTACTAATCACAGTAAGTAAGCTGAGAAACATCAATAATTAAGCAAAACTGTACCCCAAATTTAGGTAAAATTTTGACAATTTGACCCTTTGCAAAAACTATTTTTACAAATGAACCGCTACTAAAACTTATTTCAAATCTGACTCTTTTGCTCAACGCCAAATCGTGTGGCGCTGAACTTAGACACCTCAGCGCCAAATAGCATGGCGCTGAATGTACGTTGGCACGCTGACTTAGTCTCCCATCCGTCGTGGCACGGCATTCAGCGCCAGCTGACGTGGCGCTAAGGTGTCTAAGTTCAGCGCCACATGATTTGGCGCTGAGCAAAAGGGTCAGATTTGAAATAAGTTTTGGCAGCGATTCATTTGTAAAAATAGTTTTTGCAAAGGATTAAATTATCAAAATTTGTGCAAATTTAGAGTTCATGCAGTTGTCCCCTACCCGGGCGGCGGCCGTGCACATCATCGTACACCCCCCGTCATATCATCACACGTACGATCCAGAACATACTCGATCGGCCTCATCGTCCGCGGTGCAGTCAATTCAAGACGAAACAGCAAAATAAATAAGGGGTGTTTGGGAGAGATGGGCTAAACTTTAGCCCCCATCTCTCCTAAACACCCCCTAAATAAATAAATTGGACACCCTATAGATTGCTTACTTAGTACAGTAAATCAGAATTCTTTCTTCAATTTGGAAACAATATTTTAATTGGAAAACCACGACCATACATGATCAATCAAAGTGAAACAAATCAGAAACAGAAACCGAGTAATGCATATATCTATTTCGAATTGTACTCACTATACTCATATAAAAAAATACATAGACTTAGCAACCGAAGCAAGATACAAATACACAAAACAATCATAGCTGGCACGCGGGAAATCGTCTCGCCGAAATTAGCTAATAGAAAAACAAATCACCACTTTGCTCTCATGGCCTAGAAATTCCCATATTAATTAAAAAGAAAAAACATGGTCATATTTTTAAAAATTTATGAAATTCAAATAAAAATAAAACAAACAAAAAGGTGATTCCATATAAAAAACAATTTTCGAAAATATGAAATTTGGATTAAATATGTCAAAACAATAAATATTGAAATAAGAAGCCATGTAAAAATATAATTTATAAAAAGAAAATCTAAAATTGGATTAAATTAGAAAATAATTAATACCGAGAGAATACTCCACGTAGAAATACAATTTATGTTGGCTTTTTTTAATACATTTTATAATAAAATATGAAAACATATATGCTACTATGTAAGAAACTTTTTTTAATAATGTTAGCCGCGCAATCTGCGTGGGCCACCATGCTAGTTAAATCTAATAGTTAACCTCTGTCGGGCCGTGCCGTACCATGGGCCGGGCCAAAATGCCGTGCCATGGGCCGGGCCGTCGGGCCTCGGGCCTTTTGGCCATCTATAGATGGAAGCAAGATTGTGTTCTTGTCATCTTGTGTTGAGATGCTTCGACAGGGATGGCGTGCATGGCGCAACTAGCTAGCACAGCTGCTTATCTCTGGTTTTTTTTTTAATTTTATGCCATCCTTCCTTCTAGATAGCACGTTCTCAAATGCCACTCTACCCAAAAAAAACTTGGATTATTTGTCACTCAGATCCTCAAATTGTCTCCATTTTGCCATTTTGACTAGCCAACTCAGCAAACCAAATGAAAAATTACAACCCTGCCCTTATCTTCTTCCTCTTGCATACCCAATACAGTAGAGGAGACGGAGAATGAGGGGAAGCAGCCATAGAGGATGGGTCACGGTAGTGAAGAGCCCAAGGTGCCAGCGCTCCTCTTCTTTCTCAGCTCCGATGTGTTTACAATAACAATGACGTGCCGATGGTGGGATCTAAGGAGGCGGCGGAAGGAGCGGCATCGACACATGGCACCGTCGGAGGGGAGGAGGGAGTGGGGGCCCGCTGCCGTCAAAGGGTGGAAGCTGCAAGGTTGCCGCCATCACCAGAGGGGAGGGGGAGCCGCAAGGCCACGACCACCAGTCCACCACCGAAGGGGAGGGAGGCCCACGGCCACCGCCGTCGCCGGAGGGGAGTGAGGCATGGGGCTGAGGCCCACGACCGCCGCCATCATTGGAGAGGAGCGGTGTGTTGGGCCACACACCTTCACTGTCGAAGGGGATTTGAGTTGGGCGCGAGGCCACCGCCGGATGGGAGGGGCGTGCGGGACCACCGCCCGATTTCGTCGTGTCGTCTTCAGGTCAAGGGAAGAAGGAAGAATATGGGCAATAAGGTCATTTGCAACTTGTTGCCATGTTAGTTTGCTGATTTGGCTAGCTATAATGGCAAAATAGAAACAATTTGACAAGTTTGAGTGGCAAATAATCCAAGTTGACAAGTTGTTTGGAAGGATGGCATAAAGTACAAAATCCCATCTCCATCTGAACTTCTTCTTCCTCCGGCTGCTGCTGTGTAATAATATATATATATTTGTTTTAAACTGTTAGATTTATTTACTAAAAATATTTAATTTATTTTCATAATCAAGTAAATAATCCGTAAAGCAATCTGCTCAATAATAATCTAATAATCCATAAAGCGATCTGCTCAATAGTTGTTTTCAAACTGAGACTAAGACTCAAATCCACACTTTTGTAAGCGGGTGTTGAAGCTGCAGGCCTCGACTCGTTAAGCATGCAGTTCCAAATCAGATTCAGAGTAATTTGCTGCACATGTCGAAGGAAACTGAAGTTGTAAGGCTTGTAGCTAGTGCTCAAGATAGGAGCTCCAAGCATGCAGAGTTCTAGTGCAATGTGCAATAGAATCAGATCTTAAATTATATACTACCAATGGCAATGATGAATAATGAATATGTATCCAGGACAAAATAGCGGACCTAGCCCGTCAGAAAACTGGACACATTCCACTTCGAATGTGTCACGCGAAGGGCTAGGGAGAGTATCAGCCTACCAAAATTTGTCAGGCTTACATCGATCAGTACAGACATGGGGACTCAAACCATTAACTGACCAACCAGCCTGAAACATCTACTTACCAAGTTCTAAACTGCAACTTTGAGTTTGTAACCGAGAAAAATAACTCTTCCTCTTCTATCTTATATTTTTGTGTGTGTGTGTGTGTGTTGTTATTGTCTTCTTATGTTATCATTTCTCTACCTTAAACTAGAATAAATCTTTTGGTTCCGTGATTAATTAATTAATTATGGGGGCGGGTGGCGAAGCAGAAGGGGAGGGAAGAACTTGATCAGCAGTAGGACGGAGTGGCCAGTGCCAGCTCGGTGCCCACGACGCTGATCCCCCGGCAGTCTCCATCGAACAGGGTCACCATCTTCTCCCTAGCACCGCATGGCGCGGACGACGGCGACGAGGAGTCCTGCACAGACAGACGAACAGCCAGCCATGAATACGAGATTATCAGTGTCAGGTGTCACATGTTGAAGAAAGAGAAGGGAAGAGAAGTGTTCTCTGTGGGTGACTGGTTGGTCATCCAAGCCGTCCATCTTGCATCTGACAGGCTCAAGGAATTCCAGTTCTTGGGAGGAGTTGGGAGTTGAAATCAAAGTGCGGATGCAGATGTTTGAACTTACCACATGGCGTAAGGTGAGGCCGGAGAAGTTGTGTAATGCCGGGACAGTGAAGCCAGCGGCGAACAGGGCCCGTGTCTGGAGAGGTGACGTCGGGCTGGGCAGGGGAGGCAGCTTGGCGGCAGCGGCGGCGTTGGTGGACGATGCCGAGGGCGGCGTGTTGAAGCCCCCGCGGAACGCCACGTGCTCGTCCAGTGGCGACGCGACCACCACCTCGGCTGGGGCTCGTGACGACGGCGGGAGGCCACCAGGCCCAATGCTGGGGCAGCTGCTGCTGCGAGGGAGCTGCTCTGGCCCGGAGGCGACAGGGCAGCTGCTGCTGCCTCCCCCACTGATGGCCATGCTCGTGCCAGACGCCATGTGTGGCCACATGAACGTTCCCTGTGGCTTGCAGATGCGGAAGCTGCTCTTCCTCGCCGTCCTCTTCTCGCCGACTTGGACGACGGTGGCATCTGCTTGCTGGCTGATCCGGTCACCACCATCAACATACAGTGGTTCGCCGGGAACAAGGCCTTCTTGCTTGCCCAAAGTCACTTCCACCCTTTCCCTTTCCATGTTCAGATTATCTCCATTTCTTGGCAGCAGCAATTGTTCCTGTGCATGCAGAGGTGTCAGGTGATTTGGAATAAGGCATGTGTTTCAGGTACAATTAGAAGCAGAACCCACAAAGGGCAACCAACCTTCAAAGAAAGGAAGGAGCTGGAGAGACTAGCCATCTGTTCCTCCAGTTTATCATTCTTCTCCAGCACAAGCTTGTATTTATCCTGAAAAGGTACCAGTTGATGATCAAGAGTTGTATAATTAAACATGCAAATAGCTAGGTACAACAGAATAATCAGAAACATGGTGGACCAAAGTAAAATAGTCCCAAGGAGTATAACTGCTTAGTTTGCTTGAAAATCATAATGTGTGGTGAAGTGCAGATCATGGTGGAAATTTCAGGTGTATCTGCAGGGGTATACCTTCAAGGACAGCACCTCCTTCTTCAGCTTACCCTTTTTCTGAACCAGATGCTCATACATGTCCTGTAATTTAAACAAGGAAATGATATGTGTTTTACCTTAATGTAAGTGCAGGCATATAATCGAACATGATCAGAGACGTGGATCATTTGTTGCTAAACAAGGTACCAGTGCTTTTGCATAGTTTGAGATGAAAGCGCAGGAGTAGGATGAGAGGTGTTGTTTAGTTACCTTCATAGATAACACCTGTTTCTCGAGCTTTTCATTTGCCTTCATCAACTTCTGATACTTCTCCTGAAAAACAAATGCTAAAGAAATGAGTGCTCCAATAATGGAAAGCAGAGCAGAACAGAAGAGAGGCATGCCAAAAGTGTATGCTTTTGTCAATGTAAGTAAAGCTGAGAAATTTTAGCTGGCTGCATATATGTCCTTCACAATTTACACTTTCAGAGATTGAAAAAGACCAGATTGCCAATTGCCATAACTACTGATAATACCTACATGGAAATTCTGAAAAAACAAATAAAAGGACTAGATTTCAAAATATAGGCAGGCAGGTCAATGCAACTCAAAATACAGGCAAGCAGGTCAATGCAACTCAAGTGTTATATTAGCTTGTTACATTTTAAGTCACAATGGGCAAACAAAAAAACATTCCCGCTTTCTTGAGAAGTAACAACAATAAACAGAAGGAAAATGGATGCAAGGGAAATAATCGACAGGATTGATGGGCTATATACCTTCCTAGAGCTGTAAGATCGCTCTGCCTCAGATTTTGTTTCCTTCTCCAGCTGCACCAAATTAGAACTGAGCTGCTCGATGTGCCTTCACACCACCAGCCCAAGTGAAATTTAGCACAGAACTCGTAGAACTGACAAAAATGTTGGTATTTCTCCAAACAAGAAGTAGAAGCTGCAAAAAAGCGAGAGAAAGGAGACCTTTTTACACCATCAACCTCCTCAGCGAGCTCTTCCACCTTCTTCTTGACCAGGAGGTCACCGGCGACTGCGGACACGTCATCACCTGGCTTCCACCCAGGTGGCGGCACCCAGTATGGATCAGACACTCCAGCCAGCCGCCGTACCTCGGCAAGCTCCGCCGGCTCCAGCCAGTACTCCATGGCACCATCCGCATTGTGCCGGCGACGGAACCGGTCCGCGCTGCCTTCCGGTACCCTGCCGGCCATGTGCTTGAGCAGGTGGTCAAGGAGGCCGGTGTCACCGATATGCTTGCGGGCTTCCTCCCGCAGAGCCTGCCGCATCACCGGCGCACCGAAGCAGGCACCATGGGAGCGCATTATATCCAGCAGGCTCCTCTCCGCCGCTGCGTACCGCTCGGCCGACCACCGGTCCTTGCCGCGCCGAGGGTCGCCGTCTTTAGCCTCCACGACGCGCCTCTTCTCCACCTTCTTGGGACTCTTGTAAGTCTTGGCTTTCTTCTTCCTGGCGGCTCTGCTCTTGTCCATGCTGCTCTCTGCCTCCTCCCGCTTCCTCTTGCCATTGCTAGTGCTCTTGTTGTCTTCCTGCTCCCGGCGTTGTCGCAACCGCAGTCGAAGCCGCAGTCGCTGCTGCTGCTCCTCCTGGACGCTGACCTCTGTGTTGTAGCCATCGAGGCTGGCAGCGCTGGCCTCCTTGGAAGCATCGTGGTGGCGACCAATGTACCTGACACGGCGCCTCACGCCCCACCCGGCGCCGTCGCACTTCAAGGTGTCGAGAAGGCAGGAACTGGCTGCCGGCGCCTTCGCCTGCGCTGTGGCAGGCGGCGGCGACGGGGTCAGCACATCATGTGGTGACGACGCGGAGAAGTCATAGAGGCAGGGCTTGACGAGCCAGAAGCTGTCCTGGTGCATCACGTCGCCCGCGAGCTCCTCCTCGGCCACCCGACGGCGCAGGATGCGGGCCGCGTGGTTGCTGCTCATGACGAAGCGCTCGTCGAGCTCCGGCCCAGTGCACGACCGTGGGGAGGAGGAGAAGAAGCTTCGCAGCGCCAGGAGGGACGGGAAGCTCACTGTGACGTCCAGGCTTGTGTAGCCGCTCACCTGCACCCACCAAAGACCACAACACCACGAGCGAGAAGCAATCCAGATCAAACATTTCGAGAACAATTCATCAAATCAATCCAGATCAAAGCTAGCAGTCGAGTGTACGAGTAAGAAAAAAAAAGGCTCACCTTTACCACGCGTATGGACTTGAGATGAATTGGGGATTTGGGGGGAAGCTTCTCGTGGTCGATCTCGTAGAACCCTCCTGATCAAACCAAAAACAGCACAGGTTTTCAAGAACTTGGCACAAACAGAGTTGGGGGAACTGCTCTTGCACAAATATAAACTAGACGATAGAGTTCAAAGCCTGGAGGCATTGCTCTGCTCACCGGTGTGGTAGGTGTGGGTGGCAGATGAGGACAGGCTCTGTCTGCTCAGGGGCAAGCCGGGTGATTGGTTCTTGGACTCGTCATGGTTGGCATCATCCTTGCCATTTCTGCTGTGGCTGCTACCCCTCTTCTTGGAGTAGTATCTGCTCACCTGTGGCCTCTTGGAAATGGGCCAACACAACACATGCAAAGCACAGGTCAGGCGTTTTGGCTCGTGTAATGCAGGTGCAGTGAGCGATCAGAGATACTGAAACGGGAAAGCTTGGGATAGAGGGTGCGCGTGCAGCGTGCGTGAGATGGAATTAAACCTCTAGCCTTGTGGAAGAGAGACACCAATTAACATCACGTACCACTCTGTACTGTACCTAGAAGCAAAATAAACACAGGGGAGCAATTTTTCTGTGCATGCATGATTTCCTGACAAAGTGATCCATATGTGTGAACCGAATTACTAGCTGTGAGTCTGTGATCTAGTATTGCTTTAAGATTTTTTTTTCTGTGACACTGCCCAGACTAATTAGCTGCTGATGTTAACTGAACTTAACAGCACTAGTGTCAGTAAATTGCACATGCATGCAAGTATATGGAACCTTAAACATATATAGGAACTAAAGTTCATTATTGCTAATTCTATCACTCCATGAGGTTAAAAAAAAAAAACTATGACAGCAAGTTGGTCAAAACATATGGTTTTCAGAAAGTAATCGCCTAATCAGTAAAAGAAAACTCAATGACGCGTGTATCTATCTCCAGTTTAGTTGGACAACTGAAACATGTCAAATTTTAAGCCCTTTGGTTAATTAGAACATGCAAATTAATCTTCAAGATATACCATATTAACCGGACATCGTACCAAACGAAAAGAGCGTGCATCACTGCATTGTCAACTTATTAACAACTTGAACTAATATTACCCCAACTGCATCTTTCACTTAACAAAACCACTTATCGTGCATGAGTAACATTAGAAACATGCAAGACACATATAGTTCCATCTATGACATGTCCACTAAAATCAGCAATTTCTGGTTGTACTCGCAACAGGCAGCAGGCAAAATAAATTGACTGGAAATAGTACGCCACAAGTGCGGTTCCAAAGAACGTAACATCAACATGTAGAGATTGATTAACAAGCCTAATAGGGATCTTTGCATGAAATTCCAAGTCTTGGATTCTACTACTAAGCTATGGATTGAGCCCACTAATTTCGCCACACATGCATCGCAATCGCTAGTAATTACACAACAAACCACCCAAATTGATTCAATCCATCAGCTGCATTAAGTGTACTGATCCAATTACTACTAAGACATTCATTGGTAGAGAAATCCACACAACCATGCAACTGCATCCAAATAGCAAACCATCTAAACCCCCCAAACACTCACCCCCACCGATCGAATTTTAATCAGCAAAAGCAACTCGTACACACTGAGCATATGCGATCAATGAAATGAAACTAACCAGGCGAGGAGATGGAAATTGAAAAAAAAAAGGCGCAAGGAAAGAAGTGTCAGCGAAGATGCGCGTCTGTACCATGGGCGAGTCCAGCAGATGAGCTGCCGCAAGCGCAGGAGCCGCCATCTCCGCGTCCATGTGCTCCGCGTCAGAGACCTTCGTCCCCAAAAGAACAAAAAAAGCAAAAGCAAAATTAATCCAGAGATTGATCCATCGATCTCACAGCCACAGCACGGGCACATCCGCACACATTGAAGCGATCGAATAAATTCACAGGAGCCAGGGGCGGATCAAACTTTTTGGGGGAACAAACAAGCAAGCAAACTGCTACTACTACTTGGGAGGAGTAAGGTTAAGGCTGTGAAATGAAGAGAGAAGAGCTTCTTCCAGATCTAGAAGAGAAACGCGAGCAAATTCCAGAGAGAAGTGGGGAGAGAGAGATGGATGAGAAAGAGGATGCGGATGCTCACCTCACCAGGATCCCCTCCCCTCCTCTCCCCTGTTCGGCCGCGAGATGGCGCAAGGAGCGGAGGAGACGACGAGACGGGAGGGGAGATTTTCCTTTTTCTCTTTTTAACGCCACCCACGCGTGCCTAGGCGCGCCAGCTCAGTAATAAGTAGCGCGCACGCGACACGCACGCCCAAGGAGGCTCCAACTCCATTTGCACATATCGTTTGTGTAGATTAAAAAAGAGAAGTAAGTAGTAGTAGGAGTAAAACACTGTAATAATTACCACCGTTGACAAAAGTTGACAATGTCACATGCGTGCAGTGACGCGAAGCATGCGTGCGTGCTCTGCTCCACGGGGATATCTCTCCGATCCTCTCACACGCTTGTACTAGTAATAATCAGTGTTGACATACTTTTGAGTTTGAGGAGAAGGGGATTAAAAAGATTGAGAAAGATTCGTAAAATTAGTGCATGATTAATTAAGTATTAACTATTTTAAATTTTAAAAATGGATTAATATGATTTTTTAAAATAACTTTCCTATAAAAAAATTTTTGCAAAAAAAAAGTAATGTTCAGTAGTTTGGGAAACGTGCGCGCAGAATACGATGGCCTTTCTCACATAAACCCCTCCCAGGAACGAACGCACCCTCGATTTGTAGCGAGCTGCCGCTACACCCGTTTCGGTAAAAATGGGTTGAGACTTGGAGCCATCGCGGAATAAGCAAAACGGTATATTTACAAATGAAAAATATTTTATGAATAAAACTTTTATATATATATATATATATGTTCGTAACAATTTAAAAATAAAAGATAAAAAATAAACTTTAATGGAAAAAATCTTAAAATCAGTTTCAAATTTAACATTGAAAATTTAAATTTTAACTAAGTAAGCAAAAGTAAAAGAAGAGACCCCTTGTTACCGTAGCAAACGGTTAATTAATCGACCGGAACGGCGCTATTTACGCGCGCGGTTGTCACGCACGCACGCTTGATCGAGCGGTCACCGGTGTGTTGTGTGCGTGCGTGTCTGGCTCCTCCTCTGCCTCTTCATCGATGATCGATCAGCGATTAATCCCTGACACGTGCCGTGCAGTGCAACCCGTGCTCGATCAAGCCTCAAGCCCTCGAGGGAAAGAGTTTAGTCGCTCACTGTCACAATTGTATCATCTCGCGTTGTTAATTGCAGTGGTTATTTGCTAATCTACTGCTCATGGAGTAAGTAAGACCTATTTTAGATGGGACTAAAACAGTACATATCACATCGAATGTTTGGACACTAATTATAAATATTAAACGTAGAATATTAATAAAACTCATCCATAATCTTTAACTAATTCGCGAGACGAATCTGCTGAGCCTAATTAATCTATAATTAGCCTATGTGATGCTACAGTAAACATTCTCTAATTATTGATTAATTAGGCTTAAAAAATTTATCTCTCAAATTAGCTTTTATTTATGTAATTAGTTTTGTAAGTGTTCTATATTTAATACTCTAAATTAGTGTCTAAATACATGGACTAAAATTAATTCCATGATTCAAACACGTATAGGACGATCTCGTGACAGCACCGGCCAGCTGCCCTACGACGGAGTAGAGCATCATCATTCGGGTGTGGGCCCGCCTGCTCCCCCTTGCATGCTCGATCGATTCTTTTTTTTTTTTACCTTTGCTCGATCGATTCATGGGTTGCACACGCAACTACAGCACCCATTGTTTGGCCTACATTAAAAGAAAGAAAATTTATGAGTATCTTTTATCTATACGTGTGCTCGTAAGAATATAGAAACCAATACTTAAAAATATGAACTATCATAGAACCTTAGAAATGAACTTAAAATTAAGTTTTACAATTTAAATTTTATTAGTGGCTTATAAACTAAAGGACAACGGTACTCTATTCCAGTCAAAAAATACTGCGATTGTCTAGTTTAATTTTAAGTAAACTGAAAATACTAAAAAAAATTGTCACGTTTGGACAGTATAGATCATGCCATGATTCATGTAGCAACTTTATCTTGTCTTCTCCCACTCTCCCATGATCCCACTGATTCTGTCAGATCAAGATTGATCAGCTTCACCACCACTCTACTTCCATGCCTACCTCGCATATCCTCTTCTTCTTCTTCTTCCCAAACCAGGCAAAGGTGAGGTGCTCCCGTCCTACCATCTTCCTCATCTAAGACAGTTTGCTCCGCTGAAAACACCAGCGCAACCCTGCCTCCTAATCATTCCAACAAGACTATGATTCCCTCATCAGTGACACCGGCCTGTGGCGACACACTGCTATCTCGCTGCCACCCACCATAGGTCGGGAAAACCTCCATCTTCCACTCCTACCAACCCCCTACTACCCTACCCACTCCTAAAACCTAGTAAATTTTATTGGGCCACTATACAGAGTTACACTGTTACCATCACTAAACAAGATGCCATCCTGTCACTTATGAGTTCTTTTAATTGCTCGTATAGTTTGTTTTGAAGGTAGAAGATGGCTCCATGGCTAATAGGCGACTGAAATATCCCACAATTTCAGTCACCCAATAATTTACAATCTCAAAAACATTTGATGTAGGCACCGTCAAGCGTGGCACGGTGTCAAATATTTTTTTATTGAAAGGCAGCAATAAGCTAGCGCTGCATGTGTGTGAAAAAAAAAACTCGGATTTGATGCGTACAACGAAATGAGATACTCCATCCATCCCACAATATAAAGTATTTTGCCCCTTCTAATTGTCCCACAATATATAAGGATTTTAGTGTACTACGTATGACATCCATTGACTCCAATTCAAATTTTTACCTATTTCAACCTCAACTACTCACTCACCTATGAGCAAATATCATTTAATAAAGGCATTCTAGTATTTTCTTGTTATCCTTAAACTTACTTAAAAAGAATAATCCCTTATATATATTATATAATGGAGGGAGTATGTGAAACGAGAGTTTCATGCACAGTACTCGATCGTCTGAATCGACACGTTTTTCCTTTTCTTATATTGCAAGGTAAAAAAGAGAGAGAGCACGCCATCGCAAACCAGCCGCAAGCGCGATGAACTCGTTGATGAATTTCTTTTCTTTTTTTCTTCTTCTTTTTTGCCGTGCAGTTTGATACGATGATCTAGTGGTCCAGGACCAGGAGGGCAGCAGAAGATTCGCGTGCAGACCAGCTGATCTCCTCGCCTGATCACGTGCATATTAATTCCTAATTTGTTGGGTTGGGTTGGGTTCGAGCTAGCCGGCCCACCGGCCGGCCCAACACCACACGGCGCGGCCTCAATCGTTTGGTGTAGGCCGAACGGGTCGGGGGGCTGAGCCGCTGCGGAATCGCTAATACGCGCGCCAGCGCCTCCTACCATTTTTTTTTCGTTTTCTTTACCCATTTTTTTCGTTTTTTTCCCCACTTTTTTCTGATTTTTTTTAATCTTTAGCATGTTTTGAGTTTGAAAGTTTTTAAATTTTGGGTTGAAAATTTTCAAATCTGAACTTGAATGTTTTTAAATCTCGAGTTGAAAGTTTTTAAATCTCGATTTGAAAATTTTCAATTTTTTTCAAATCTTGATTTGAAAGTTTTCGAATCTCGAGTTGAAAGTTTTAAAATCTCAAATTGAAAGTTTTCGAATCTCGATTCTCGAGTTTAAAGTTTTCGAATCTGAGTTGAAAGTTTTCAAATCTCAAGTTGAAAGTTTTTAAATCCGACTTGAAAGTTTTTAAAATTTAAAACTTAAATCGAAAGTTTTCAAATCTAACTTAAAAAAATTATCAATCTGTTAGTAAAAAAAATCTACCCAAAAAATCTCCAGAATCTTTTCTAATTACTATCATTAATGTTAAGTATATTAGCTAATATAGGCAGTTCCCTAAAAAAACTAATATAGGTAGTTAAGACTAAAGGGGGAGGGGCTGGCGCGCAATCGCCAGCTAGAGGGGCTATTAAAGGTTTTTGTTTTATGTTTTTGGGTGAATTTTCAATATGGCGAGAATGGACTACACCATCTTGGAATAATTATAGTACTCCTGAGAAACAGTAAGCGTATGTTACACTATCAGAAACAAGAAGGCTTTTATGTCCAACAACACAACACGTACTTGAGAACGTACCAAAAAGACATCGAAGTGATAACACTGGACTCACTGTAGTTGGCAGCACCACCAGTTTATTAAGTATATTCCTCGTATCCTCGAAAGTGTTCATAACTTCATATGATGTACATGGTCACAATCATACCGAGTGTGCTGAAATGTTAACACACATGAATATTTTTGTATGCATAGATACATGTGCCTGGTCTCTTAGTAGAATTTCAACGTTGCAGAGGTTCCCCTCAGTACAACAATAGCTTACAGAGCGCTCTAAACGCGTAATATTTGGTGCATTACCGTGGCTACGCAAGACACTACAAATTTTGCAGGTTACTGGTGCTACATAGAAAAATAAAATAAACTATAGCTATGCACATTAATTGACTGATATTTTGGCTTATTGAAACAAGCCCTTAGTAATTCTTGACAGCCACCGCTCGTCACCCTATTGTTTAATTATCAAATCTCATCCAATCCTTTCTTTTCTAATGCCGCTGTAAGGCCTCCTTTTATTCCTTCTAATATATCTGGCAAATCTCATGCTGTCTTTCGTTAAAAAAGAAATCTCATCCAATTAACATTTAAATATACTCCTATTTCATCCTTTAATATCTGAATTTAGCTTATTCAGATTGGTGGCAGTGGGATAGAGATAGGAGTGTTAGAGTCAGGGTTAAATGGATGTCTGAAGTCTTGGAGAACCGGTTGAGGACAAGGAGACAAGACAACGGCATCACCGGTGCCAAGGGGTTGGATGAGGATGATGGACGGGGACAACATAAGCCATATGGCTAAGAGCGCGAAGTAGGGAAGTCACACTAAACATACGGAAGACATATGAGGAGGAGGAGGGAGGGAACTAGCAATGAGTTGGGCCGGGAAGGGGTGATAGGTGATCCTCGTCGGCACCAACAGGTGGAGATATGCAAATAGCGAGATCAAGAGAGTTCGGTAGAGGCGTCATGTAAACTAGGAGTAATTAAGTCATATGAAATCTTGATACAACTATGGCCATTAAAGAAATTGATTGTTTTTTTAGCAAATTCACAGCTAGTCCTCTCAATATTTCAGGCCCCATCGATTGGCCTTTTTCCTAATAAGCCAAAACAACTTATTAGGAAATAAAAATAAATTTGTAGGTAAACTTTTATCAGAAAACCTAGACAACAGTATCCTGTTGGAACGAGACACCCTTCTATAAGACAGTACCTGATACCTGATACCTGTTGTGGTACCAGCTGCATGGTACCCGATACCTGTGATACCTGTTAGCCGGTACCTATGATACCTGGGACCTGATACCTGTGATACTCGTGCAAGAGAATAGTTAATATGTCTATCCCGTTGCAACGGGATCCCGTTCTGTAGCAGTCCTCAACTTTTATACATGTGTTCCTAGTGAGTTAAAAGCCAATGCTAAAAAAAAACATATGTCGAAAATATCTTAAAATCAATCTTAAAATTAAGTTTGAAAAATTTAAAATTTAACTTTTTCTAGCTCATTAGGTCACCCGATGGAATCCTTCATCTCCTTACATGGCATTGAGCCATTGTGAGTTTGTGACATGCATGCACCAACAGAAGTTAATTAATTTTATGCTAAAAAAAACAGAAGTTAATTAGGCAGGTCGCCCGGGGCAGAACGTGCGCGTGCATGGTTTCCGTACGTCTCCAACTCCAAGCTCCAATAATGGGGAGAGGCTTGCCGGATTCGCCGCCGGGAGCACCGCCCCCGCCCCCGCCGCGCTCGCATTAAAGCTGCCCCCCTCGCCGTCCACCCCCACGCCTTCCAACGACGGTGAGGCCAGCCGGAACCACACCGCGCGACTCCGCCATGGCCGGCGGCCGGTCCTCGTCGTCGAGCAGGCACCACCACGGCCACCACCACCACCACCACCACCACCGCCGCCACCGCTCCGAGACCTCCTGCCCGCCGACCTCGGTGGCCGTCGCGGCGGCGAGGGCCGGCGACGCGCACGCGCCGGACCACCCGCTGAGGCGGTCGCAGGCGTTCCCGCCGCGCCGCCAGCCGCCGCACCAGCAGCAGCAGCAGCAGCAGCGCATGCAGCCCCAGCGGTGGGACAGCGAGCAGGTGAGGCAGCCGCGGTGCGGCGAGGTGGCGGGGGGCACCGCGGCGGGGTGCGCCGCCGTCTGCTGCTGCCTGCCGTGCGCGGTGGTGGAGGTCGTGGTGCTCGCCACGGTGCGCGCGCCGGCGGCGCTGTGCCGCCGCGCCGTCCGCGGGCGCCGCGGCGGCCGCGGCACCAGGCGGTCGGCGTCGGCGGGGCAGGCCGGGGAGATCTACGAGCTCCTCGTGGACGAAGGCGGCGCGGTCGATTCCGGCGAGAAGAAGGCGCCCGTGGTGTGGCCCGTGGCGGCGATCACGGCGGCGGCCGTCCCGTCGGAGGAGGCGGGCGAGCTGGAGAAGGAGGTGTGGGCTAGGTTCTACGGCGCCGGCTTCTGGAGGAGCCCGTCGCAGCTGAGCGACCACATGAGGTGATCGGCCGGCGACGGACGGCTTCCCGTTCCGTACGCCGGCCACGTGTCCCCGCGCTTCTTTTCTTCGCTCTTGGGTTCCTACCAACTCCGTCTCAAAATATAACAACTTTTGGCTATAAATCTGGACGTACAGTTATCTAGATACAACTTATATTTTGGGACGGGGGAGTAGAAAGGAACTAGAGGAGGAAGAAGAAACTTGCCCTTTGGCTGCATTTTTCTTTTTCTCTTTCTTATTTAATTTTAAATGTCGCTCGCTCTTAGAAGGGAAGAAGAATTCTCTTCTTGAACAATGCAATGCCATTGTTGATTGGTTATGTAATTAACTGTATATATTCAACGATGATATGAACAAATGGAGCAAAAAAAAATTAAGAGAAAGAAGGTAGCACAATGGTTTGTGATGTGGGGTGGGGGTGGGGGGGGGAGACACTCACTCTGGTAGTGATTATTTGACAGTTTGAATTAGATTTGATCAAATTTTTAAAATTCATATTGGGGTGGATTTATAATCTATTAAGTTTTATGATACTATGATCGTATTTTTCATGCAAATCTATAAATGCCAATTAATTACTTGATAAGTTATTGGTGATTAAAGTTTTAAAAATATCAACAGAATCTTATCCTAATTAAATGTTAACTGTTTATAACCAAAGGGAGTACTATTATTTCTCCACTTTATCATGAAAAACATGTGCCAAGTGACGCCATGCATGAGTGCACTCCTCTTCTCTTGGGGATTAATCGAAGCCTAGCTCTGAATCCTCTATCTGAAGTGTGAAAATATTCTCAGAGGGGAAGAATAAACCAGGAAGGACCTTCACAGTTCAGACCACGTTATAACAGATGTGTAGGAGGAGGACAAACACTTGAAGATTCAGATGGAAAAACTCTGAAAGACGTATCATATATTTGGTCAAGTTCTTTTGTATCTTTCTCAAATTCTCACGGCAATTGTCCACCAGAGGAACGTGTGAATCAGTTTGTCAAAATCAATCCACTGTAATGCGATGCGTTTACTGACCAGGATACCCACTATAGTTTGGTCTTGCAGACGATTTCGGCCGCAAGTAGCCCAGATATTCAGAATTCAGATAGAGACTCTAGCTGGGGTCGCACCCGAAGTCTCCAACAAGCACTACACACTTTTGGTCTTACATACTACACCACGGAAGAACATCACCATCTCCCTGGATGCTTTTTTTTTTTTGAAACATCATGTTATTTGTTTTGAAAAGGAAAGAAAATGAGAGCATGATGTGCATATCTCAACGTTGTGACGAACAAGAGTTACAGACAATCGTTATGTACGCCTATATTTGCTTGTTTCAAAACAATATTAATTGTGCTTATGAAAAATCGGCTTCTACGGGCCACGAATTTATTTTCTTTTCTTTTCGTTTTTTTGAGGGAGGGGACCAGCTCTCACCCATTTGCATTACCGGAAATGGAACAGTGGTTACAACCGGTAGTTCACAAAGAAGAAAGGGCAGGAACCGGAAGAATTCCTACTTCTTATTTTTCTATCTGTTTAGATAGTGCTATCCCACTATCCCCCAGTTCAAAACAGATAAATTTTACTACAAGACATTTAGAATATATGTTATTTGCTAATAGACATCATACAAACGTGTCACACCTAAAACACATTTTCAAGAAACTGGTAGTTTGTTGGAGAACACTTTTAGCTCAATTAGAGAGATAAATTCCTTAAAAAGACGAGGATATCTGTAGAGACAAAAGATTATGACTCGAGGCTAGATTGAAGATGAAATATGATGTATATATGCTAGCGATATATTTGGGATGATGACCGATTTAGAGTTGCATAAATTTTAAATTTTCATTCCAACACCATGTTTGAAGCGAGTGGTCCAGGGGTATTCTCGTCTATTTGAGGAATTTTTCTTCAATAAAGTCGAAAGTGTTATCTAGCAAATTACCAATTTTCTAGAGTGGCTTTTAGTTATGACATGTTTTGGCGATATCTACCGGTAAATTACACAAATTTTTTTGTCCAGTAGTAAAATTTGCTAAAATATGAAAGTGTGAAACTGCTACTATGGCACTGCAATAACCAAAACTCCAACCAGGTCCGCAAGCAATTGTTACGGCCATCATAAAAGTTCCATCCAAAAAGGAGGAGCATCAAATTACCAAACAAGACACAAAAACAACAAACGGTCAAAATCTCCAGCCTTCTCTAACTAGATATCCTGGAATGTTAATAACCTTCACATGACTAAGAGCCACTACTACATAAATAATTTTTTTTACGAGGACCTCTGATGTGTTGCAAGCGGACCTGATTGTGCTTGCAAAAACCAGCATGCATTTTCGTATACGGCTTCTTAAAATATCTACATGAAAGAAATATATGTATTTTTGTAGACAAACCCCTTAACAGATCCATATACGAAAATAAACATATTTTCACATGCGGGACGACTGCTTGTGAAAAGGCCAGCCGACCTCTCTTCACCTTAAAAAATCTACCTACCCTCCATTATTATCTACTTCTCTCCACGAGCCACCGCAGGCGGACCGCACCTAGCTTGGGTTTCAAGTCTTGATTTTAGGGGTTTTTTTTATTTATTTTGAATTTTTATTTTTACATGCTGACGACATTAGCACCTTCATGTGAAAATCGGATTTTCACGTGCAGGTGCCACCTACACGAAAAATAGCAATTTTCATAGACACTTTCGAGCGGATGGGTGGCTCACCCACACGCGAAAATAAGTTTCCACTAGCATATATATATATATATACATATATATATACATATATATATATATATATACATATATATATATACATATATATATATATATACATACATATACATACATATATACATACATATACATACATACATATACATACATATACATACATATATATATACATATATATACATACATATACATATATATACATACATATATATATATACATATATATACATACATATATATATATATATATACATATATATATATATATATATATATATATATATATATATATATATGCTCATGGTATTGTTCAAAATTGTGAGGAAAGGAAGATCCACTCTAACTCTAACCGGCCATGCATCCAGAAAGTTTTGTCTATTTAGGATTAGGATATTTAGGAGATTAAGCGATCCAATAGAATAGTTGAGTGAGTAAAATGAACCTTTTTCATTTTTTTTTGTCAAGAAACAATTGTTCGTTTATTTTAAAATGACCGCAAATTGCGTGGAATAGCCAAAAATAACTATGCGGATTGGATCTACTTATTATTATTACAAAACTTTAAACGAGATTATTGTATGTGCTTAAGGTGTAATCCATATAAACTTGAGACTAAGGGTGTACTCTTTAAATTGAGGAATGAAACGGCTAATTGATCACTCAATCATAAAAGACATGTTTAACTTATGGAACAAATGTCTTACTCTATATTCCACGCAAGGATATGCTTGTGGGCCGGGGGGGGGGGGGGGGAGGAGAAGAGGACACCTATGTCGGCAGGCCTGTTTCTTGATTGCTAGTAAGGGTTTCATCGGGATTTTAGCCGATGAGTTATCTAGACGGTGCATCGGCTTACAAGGATTGCATACATATTGGATTTAGCCGATCGTAACAAAGGTTTCATTGTTTAATCCAATCTTGTGGATTTTATTACATCGGACCTCCAGCCGATGTATGCTTTAACCTTCGAATCAATGCTTATTTTATCATATTGATAGCCGATTTGTTTCTATTAGATTATATTGTTATTTTATTACATCATCATCAGCCGATTGTCTTTATATCAAATTGGCACAAATTGGCACGCCTGGTGGGATCATGAATTTTATATCCACATGTCTGAAGAAATCAATGCCAAGATCATGGTCACGGTGGAGAATTTAACGGAGGAACACTAGTGCAAAGAGTTGTTTGTCCAGATCCTCGCACATTGTTACCCTTGCAAACTTTTTCAGGTTCCATACCCTAACCCGTCGTATGCGGTTTGGCGAACATGTTCTTATCCAATTAACCTTCGACTTTCCTCTCGTGAGTTTTTCCGACCCGTCCTAAAAAAGCACTTCCTTTGTTTATCAAGCACCTCTAAGGATTCCTTGTTGACCTTGAGTGTTGTTAGATTAGGAGGTATATTGGTTGTGAAGGAAGCACAGCTTTGACCAAAATCGTGCACCCTACAATTGCTATATTACTTCCCCGCCAGTTGGCAAGACCCCCTGTTTGAGATATGCCTTGCGGTGTTTCGTGACTACAACCGGTCGGCGGAGTGCCCACGAGTTATTCGAGTGTGTTGAGCAATGAGAGTTTCAAACTTATCCATGCTCGTTTTTTACGCGCACGCTTCCTGAATTTCTAAACGGTGTATCTTTTTTTTTTAAAAAAATATAATTCTATAGAAAAGTTGTTTTAAAAACCATTTCTGTCCATTTCAAAGTTTTTAAGCTGATACTTAATTAATCATGTACTACAACATATTAATCCATTTTAAAGTGTTTAAGCTGATCATGCACTAAAATATATTAATCCATTTTAAAATTTTAAATTAGTATTTAAATATGTACTAATCCACCGCTCTATTTTACGTGTAACTGCTGAACAAAGCCTTCGTAACTTTCCGAGGCTAGTCCAATTGCCTAGCCGTGGCGTTTGACTTTTTGAGCAATCGTGCGTGTGAGCAATCCGCATGCATTGTGATTCGAACAAAAGCAGGCTGTGTTTAGATCACGCCAAAATTAGTAGTTTGGTTGAAATTGAAACGATGTGACGGAAAAGTTAGAAGTTGATGTGTGTAAGTACGTTTTGATATGATGGAAAAGTTAAAAGTTTGAAGAAATATTTTGAAACTAAACACGGCGGTAGTCAAGTAGATCTCCCCAATTTGCTAATCAGCTTTAATTATATAGCTTTCGAGGGTAGTCCCTGTTTTCGTTTTTTTTTGGATTATAGCTTTCGAGGGTAGTTCCTATTTTCGTTTTTTTTTTTGGATTAAGCTAGATATGTTCTATTCCTAACTCTGGTATGTTTAGGGCCTATTTAGATCTCTGGTAAAATTTTTCACCATATCACATCAAATATTTGGACACATGCATGGAGTATTAAATATAAAGAAAAAATAACTAATTACACACATTGCGTGTAAATTGCGAGACGAATCTTTTAAAGCTAATGCTCCATGATTTGACAATGTGGTGCTACAGTAAACATTTGCCAATGATGAATTAATTAGGCTTAATAAATTCGTCTCGCAGTTTACAAGCGGATTCTGTAATTTGCTTTGTTATTAGGCTACGTTTAATACTTTAAATGTGTATCCGTATATTTGATGTGCCACACCAAAACTTTAACCTATGGATTTACCCCCTTAATGTCAGCCACTTCACAAACAAATAGATGTTTTCATAAGGTGGTTTAATGTCAATTTCATAACATAATACTACCATTGAACTTAAACTTGATTGGGTCATTGTCCGGCAAATTGGATGACTATTACAACATAAATGTGATTCATCACCTCTAACTATTTCAGTTAGAGATATGTGCATGTTAAGCCGAAATTAGTGTGGAGTCAACGCCAGCGGGATTGGGGTGGCGGCTAGGAAATTGCTCCCTTGTTTCATATCACAAGTTATTTTACTTTTTTTTTCTTAATCAAACTTCTTCAAGTATAACTAAATTTGTAGAAAAATATACTTAAATTTTCAATACAAAATATATGTATTATCAAATATATTTGATGTTAAATTTAATGACACTAATTTAGTGTTGTAAATATTTCTAATTTTTTATATAAACTAAGTAAAAAGTAAATTTTGATTAAGAATGACTTGTAGTATGAAACGGAGAGAGTAGGATGGACACAAAGTATACGAGTGAAATTAAATCTGACGAATTAATGCTGAATTGTAGCTGCATCAAGCCATCAACTCATACACCTATATAAGAGCCTGGCACCATGAAAGCTCTAGGCAACTCGTGCACACTCCAATCACAAGAAATTTCCACAAACTATGGAGCTCGCACCAGCGCTCTCGTTGAGCATGGCCATGTCTTCGTGGGTCGCCACCATCGTCACCCTCCTCATCGGCGTCGCCGTGGCTTCGTTGCGTGGCCGCCAGCGCCGGACGAAGGCGCGGCTGAACCTCCCGCCGGGGCCGCGCGGGTGGCCGGTGTTCGGCAGCCTCGGCGCCCTGGCGGGCGCGCTCCCGCCGCACCGCGCCCTGGCGGCGCTCGCGGCGCGCCACGGCCCGCTCATGCACCTCCGGCTGGGCTCGTTCGACGCCGTGGTCGCCTCCTCCGCCGGCGCCGCCAGGCTCGTCCTCAAGACCCACGACGCCGCCTTCGCCGACCGCGCGCGCACCGCCGCCGGCGAGCTCGTCGCGTACAACTACAAGGGGATCGTGCACACCCCGTACGGCGCCTACTGGCGCATGGCGCGCAAGCTCTGCGCCACCGAGCTCTTCTCCCCGCGCCGCGTCGACTCCTACGAGCGCATCCGCGCGGAGGAGATCGGGGCGCTCGCCCGCGACCTGTTCGGCCGCGCCGGCCGCGCCGTCGCCGTGCGGGAGCGCCTCGCGAGCGCGACGCTGCGGAACATCCTCCGCATGTCGGTCGGCGACAAGTGGTCGGGCGTCTACGGCAGCGCCGACGGCGAGGCGTTCCGGCGCACGCTCGACGAGGCGTTCGAGGTGTCCGGCGCGGTGAGCAACGTCGGCGAGTGGGTCTCCTTGCTGGGGTGGCTCGACGTGCAGGGGTTTCGCCGGAGGATGAAGCGGCTGAGCAAGATGTACGACCGGTTCCTCGAGCAGATCCTTCACGAGCACGAGGCGAGCATGGCGGCCGCCGGTGACGGCGGCCAGCCCGCGGCGGCGGCGTGCGACCTCGTCGACGTACTTCTGCAACTCTCCGGCGAGGAGGAGGAGGGCAGCGCGGGCGCGGGCGCGGACTCGGAGGCGAGGCTGACGCGCGACGGCGTGAAGGCGTTCATCCTGGACATCATCGCCGGCGGCACGGAGAGCAGCGCGGTGGCGATGGAGTGGGCGATGGCGGAGCTCCTCCGCCGCCCCGACGCCATGGCCGCCGCCACCGACGAGCTCGACCGCGTGGTCGGGACGGCGCGGTGGGTGACGGAGCGCGACATCCCCGACCTCCCCTACGTCGACGCCGTCGTGAAGGAGGCGCTGCGGCTGCACCCGGTGGGCCCGCTGCTAGTCCCGCACCACGCCATGGAGGACACGGTGGTCGCCGGCGGCTACGTCGTCCCCGCCGGCGCGCGCGTGCTGGTGAACGCGTGGGCCATCGCGCGCGACCCGGCGTCGTGGCCCGACCGCCCCGATGCGTTCCTGCCAGAGCGCTTCCTCCCCGGCGGCGGCGCCGCCGCCGCCGGATTGGACGTGCGCGGGCAGCACTACGAGCTGCTGCCGTTCGGGTCGGGGCGGCGGGTCTGCCCGGCGACGAACCTGGCGATGAAGATGGTGGCGCTGGGCGTGGCGAGCTTGGTGCAGGGGTTCGCGTGGCGGCTGCCGGACGGCGTGGCGGCGGAGGACGTGAGCATGGAGGAGCTGGTCGGGCTGTCCACGCGCCGGAAGGTGCCGCTCGTCGCCGTCGCCGAGCCCAGGCTGCCGGCGCATCTCTACGCCGGCACCGCCGCATGAGCGTCGCCGTCGGCGAGCGAGCGAGCGAACGTAAGCTACGAATAAGTGGGTCCAATGCAAGTGAAGGAAATAGTATCACACGTGTGGTGCACGTGTGTGCCACGTCTGATATATTGATCGATTTTTGCCACCTGACCTGTGGCTGTGAACGCATGCATCAGTGGGTCAGTGTGTACGATATTTGTACGTGATATGATTAATTTATCATCATTTGTATAAAATCGTATCGTAGTTTACCTTTGCTTATCATCAGTTCGAACATTAATCTATTTCGGACCGTTGTCTAGGTACTACTCCTAGACAACGTGACGGAGTAATATTTAACTGAAAGACTCCTCTCCACTCAATAACTTTTTGGATGGGCCAGATCAATTTTTAGGACTGTCGTCTACTCCTACTTCGCTAGCACTAGCAAGACTTGCAGCAGAGAGGTGCCTGGCCTCACGATGGTTGAGGTTATGATCATTGGTGCGTGGGTCCCGCCGTCCTAAATGGTAATGTTATTTCTTCTTTCTAGAAAGTTAAGACCATTAGCTGTGCTTAGAAGAAGCCACGTCATTGATTTTTCTTCTCACCATAGGATTGATTATTGATGGCACAGATTGCCATCTCATCACCTTGCCCCTATCCATTTCCTCTCCTTTTCGTTTCCGCTTGAGAAATTACAGGGAAAACTAACACAATTAATTAGGCCACAAGGAGATTTAACGAGTCTCTTAGCATCCCTTCATGAGCCTCTTAACATCCCTTCAGCATTCATAACAGACCACAAATACCTTACACCATCCTCTGAACTCATAATTACACAGTATTCGTCACCTCTATGGTCTGGAACTATCTGTTCATACTTTTATATATGAAGCCGTCAATGCTCCTTCACTAATCAAGTAATCACTGCAGTTGTTAGCAAGATTATGTTATGTACGGTACTTAAAAAGGAGTTCAGAACAAGCACAACACTTAACCAAGTAAATATGCAACATTTTTTTAGATTAAATAACTAGATGACTATTTCTTTTGGAGAATAACGAAGATGCTGCAATTCAGTTCCTAATATTGCATGCCCTATTTTATTTTTCGACTATATTGGCTCGGCTGAAGTTTTACTTACAAGTATTTGCTCAATATTTGTAAGTATCAACCATCATATCATTCTCTTTCTTTTAATATGGTATTTTCATTTCTCCAAAGTATTGATACAAAATCCCACAGCAACGTGTGGGGTTTCAACTAGTTATAATAGTGGATGTGAACCTCCCTTACGATAGCATTCTTTTATCCAGGGTTTGCAATTTCGGTTGCCGCCGAAATTTCCAAAATTTCAGTGGTTATCGAAAATTTGAAAATTTAGTGATTTCCAGATTTTTCTAATCAAAATTATTTGAATTTATAAAATATTTTGACTGAATTTGAACAAAATTTAACCAAATTTACAAATATTTGATAAAAATTTGAAATTTTGGGGGATATTAGTGCTTGCTGGTGGGGGTCGTAATTACCGAAATTCCAAACCATGCTTCTATCCCCGGTGATTCCCACGCTATTGGATGCATCACGCCATCTCTGCCGCTCCTCATCTCCTAACTCCACGATTTCCCAGGCTCCCACCACTAGCCTTCATCCTTGTGGCCCTTGTGGTGCCCCCGCTGCTTTGCAACCCACTTGTTGCCGCCGAGAGAACCTCCTTCTTTCCTTTCCCCTAGCCCCTTTCATATTGATCCAAATATTGAACCCTAACTGGTCATGGCTGCCGCCACTGCCTGCCGGAGTTGCAAGAGAAGCCAATATGAAGCTTGGCGTCATTCCAATGCTCCAAATAGAATTCTTTCCAAATTTATGTTGAATGATGGTTAACAATTCCATTAATTCTATTAATATTAAAGTAATTTATATTTAAGATCCAGTGTAACCTTAGTCCAGTAAGAGAAATATAAAGAAATCCACTTTTTAATTAATTTTGGAACTATATATATACAGTATTAGACAATTTTTTAGGTGAAAAGATTTCAAACGTGATTATAATATAATTGGAGTATTATTACATTGTAACTTGGTTGTAGCTAGGATATAACTAATTTAAACATCCCGTATTTATATTTATTAAAAACATGTGGGCGGCTTGTTGGCTAGTGAGGCATGCTGTCACCCACAAGGTCACCGATTCGATCCCCGTCTCACATGATCGGAAGCTATATAGCAATTCTGTTAATTATTTCTGACTTGATGGTCACAACTCAAGAAGGGCCATTTGGTTGGTATACAAATCGGTAAACTATGCCATTCTCTATGAGACAACCTCCATGACTCCAACAATGTCTCTCTCGAGAGTACGATGTCCCTTTTCATGACTAAGGACCTTGCCCACCCACATGGCTAATTATGTTGTAATGTTAATTCACATGTTTATAAACTATGCCATTCTCTATGAGGCAACCTTCATGACTCCAGCAATGTCTCTCCCGAGAGTACGATGTCCCTTTTCACGACTAAGGACCTTCTTCACCCACATGGCTAATTATGTTATGGCTAATTATGTTGTAATGTTAATTCACACATTTGTAAACTATGCCATTCTCTATGAGACAACCTCCAAGACTCTAGCAATGTCTCTCTCGAGAGTACGATATCCCTTTTCATGACTAAGGACCTTGTCCACCCACATGGCTAATTATGTTGTAATGTTAATTCACACATTTGTAAACTATGCCATTCTCTATGAGACAACCTCCAAGACTCTAGCAATGTCTCTCGAGAGAGTATGATGTCCCTTTTCATGACTAAGGACCTTGTCCACCCACATGGCTAATTATGTTGTAATGTTAATTCACACGATCATTCACAGTTTCTGATTGGACCAACTGTTCGGGCGTGTGTGCTTGTCCAAAAAGACCATTTTCTGAGATATGGATGCTGGTCTCGTGGCTGGGATTGTCTATGAGGTCTCTTATCTGTTGGCGATATCTTTTCCTACGTACACTACTACAAAAGTGATTTTTCTGTACGAGAGCCCATGATTTTTGCAAACGGACCATAATTAGTGGCGTCTGCAAAAATCGAGGGTCATTTTCCCATACGACTCCTTAAGTGGCCCGTATGGAAAAATCGATTTTTCCATACGGGCCTCTTAAGAGGGCCGTATGCAAAAATGAGCTCATTTTTGCATGCGGCTCACTTAAGCGCCCGCATGCAAAAATAAAATTTGAAATTTAAAAGTTGAAACTAGTGTATCCCACTCATTCGAACTCCAAATTAGATGATTATTTTTCCTAAATGTTTCTAAAATCATGCGCTATCATGTTATTGTGTTCTTACTGCTATTATTTTGGTCATTTTTTTCTTGAGACTTTGTTTTATCAATTAAAAATTTGAATTTCAAAACTTCAAATAATATTTTGAAGCAATAAACGATTTCAGTTGAAAAAGTCATCAACAACAAAGTTGTATAACTCATCAAGATCTATAACTTCTATTTTGGTCATTTTTTCATCCGATAAAGTGATCGTAACATTTTCACAAAATTTACATATCTCTCTCTATAGTTTATAAAACTATATAACAGATGTACATTTTGTGAACAATATTAGACATAACTTTGTCGTATGAAGAAACGACCAAAATAAAAGTTATAGATATTGATGAGTTATACCACTTTGTGATTGATGACTTTTTCAGTTGAAATCATTTATTATTTGAAAATATTGTTTGAAATTGTCATAATTTTAAATTCAAATTCAAACTGTCGAAACAAAGTCATATAGAAAAATGACCAATACAAAAGTTGTAGATCTTGATAAGTTATACCACTTTGTTGTTGATGACATTTCTATTTGAAATCATTTATTATTTGAAAATTTTGTTTGAAGTTGTCATATTTTGAAATTCAATTTGAAACTATTCAAACAAAGTCATATAGAAAAGTGGTCAAAACAAAAGTTGTAGATCTTGATGAGTTCTACAATTTTGTTTTTGGTAACTTTTTCATATGAGTTAATATAGTGACATAAAAATCGATTTGAAATCTAAAAAGCCACATGCAAAAAATCAATTTTTGCATGCGGGTGGTTAAGTGGCCCGCATGTAAAAATGGTCCCTCTTCCTTCCCTCTCTACCAGTTCAAAAATTTCACACCAAACCTTATCTTCTCTTCCTCTCCTCTCACTTATTATCTCCTCTCTCTCTCTGTAGATCTCTTGTCTCTCTCTATCTCTCTCACTTTCTCACTCCCCCGCCATCCCTCCGTAGCCGGTGACTCCCTCGGGCGGCGGCACCACTGCCATCCCTCCTCACTGCCGCTCCCCCTCCTCACCGCCGTGAAGTCCTCTCTCTCTCTCTCTCTCTCACTTGGGCGGCGGCAGGAGGCGGTGGGCGACGGCGGGAGCGGCGGCGGCGGCAGCTAGGAGGAGCGGGCGGCGACATCAAGGAGGCAGCGGGCGATGGCGAGATGGCGGGAGCAGCGGCGGAAGCAAGGAGGCGTAGCGGCGTCCGCGAGGAGGGAGCGGGCGACGGCAGCAAGGAGCCGCGGTGGCGACACCCTACAGCGAGACGGCGGGAGCGACAGCGGATCAGGCGGCGCCGTCCTCAGGAAGGCCGGATCTGCCACCCTAGGGGTTCTCGGCGGGGAGCGGCGGGCACGGCGACGGCCTACGGCGGCGGATCCGGCGGCGCCGTCCTCGGGAAGGCCGGATCCGCTGCCCTTGGGGGTCTCGGCGACGAGCGGCGGGCACGGCGACGGCCTACGGCGGCGGATCCGCCGCCCTAGGGGCTCTCGGCGGCGAGCGGCGGCGACATCGTCCTCGGGAGGGCTGGATCCGCCGCCCTACGGAGGAGCACGACGCTTGGCGACGGCGACGGCAAGCAGCGGCAGGCGGCGAGGGCGGCGGGCACGGCGCTGCCCCGCGACGGCCGGCGGCCGCAGCAGCGTGGATCTGGCGCCGGTCACGCGGCGTCCGGTGGCGGGCGGCGGGTTAGTGTTTCGAGGGGTTTTTGGAATTTTTTTTTTGGCTGAAAAATATCTTTGCATGCGGTTGGCTATGTGGACCGCATGCGAAAATCCCTTTTTTGCATGCGGTTGTGTTGCCCGCATGGAGAAATAGCGATTTTTACAGACCTTTTGTTCCATGCGGGCAGGCTAGCTGCATGGAAAGATCCATTTCGCCCGTATGGAAAAAGCTCTTCTGTACTAGTGGTACAGCCCAAAATAGCCCCGATATCCAAATAAGCCTAGTAGCTTTTTCGATAAGATGAGGAAT